ACTACACCAATCAAACTGCGTGAATGGATGTAGTCGAAGGTGTTGTCGGGCCAGGTCCATTCAAGGTTCAAGTCATCGATTTCGAACTTGAGATTGGGTGGAACCCAGGTAGGCTGAATGGGCGAGACGTCAGTGCCGATGACTTCGGCTTCAGGGAACTCGTCAGCAAAGTCGATGGCCCAAATGCCTGTGCCAGTTCCAATGTCGACGGCCTTCTGGATTTTCTTTGGAAGTGGGGCGGTATACAGCTTTCCGGAGAGGATGAGGGTGTTCAAGTGATGAAAGATGTCCATCGCTTCGGCATGACGCGCGTCATTGGGCTGCCATGCTTCAGCATTGCCAACGTTGCTGTGGTAAGTTCTTCCAAGAATTTTACGATACTCAAAGATGCTCTGGGAGAGGGAAGCGGTGCTGGAGGGAAGGGAGCCGATGGTGGAGGCAGTATCGTCCGTATCGTCGGCGGCATCTTCCCCCTGTGCTTGTTGCCAATGCGAAGCAGGCAGAATGCCCAAGTTGCCTGCAGCTTCGGCAGTGAGCGGGGCCGAGATCGGGACTGGCGGCCCCCCTGCCGCCGCCGATCGTGAGGCGGGAGCCGGCATTGCCTCCTTAGCTTTGGGACTGGCGACCATGCTTGCGATGTGGGGTGGGGGGAAGACGACGGATCGAAGTTCTAGTTGATGCCGTCTAGGGAGGGCAACAATGATATGGAAGGCAGCTTGACGAAGAGACTGGTTACCTTTGACAGATGCTGTCCTTTTATGGCCCGAAGGTCGATTTCCCCATATACAAGGATTCTGGGACCCTATTCCTCGTATAGAAGCTGATTCAATGTACGGCACGCAAGCGGTTGCAACATAAGCTGCCAGTACGTCGGTTAAGATGCTATGTGCCATCACGAGCTTTGCAAGCTTTCTTGAAGAAACGTATGATCATTGTGAATCTAGACCCGCGATGAACCGAAGGTAGTAGGACTGAGAGGACGACGAAAAGCAGCAGGGGACATCCAAGCCAGCTCTTGATCTGGATCAATAGATATGGGCTTCTGGTGTTGCTTTTGTGGGTTATGACTGTGGTATGGACGATCATATACGACGACGACTTCGGTGATGCCGGCTGTTATTGCGGACTTCATCGCCAAGCAGCCGAGTGCTGACACCGTGACGGGCGCCCGGGCGACGTGGGTGTACGTACCTATCTCGTCGCATGAATGTCTCATCGCTCGGTTTGGCTGTGCTCCCCCAGCCTTGTAATTGTTAGTGCGTCTGTCTCATAGTCTAGACCTCTTTTAGACTCTCTTGACCATCTCATTGACCCTTTCTGTGCCTTAAGCTTCTCCTGTCCGACCTTGGGTCTGCGACTTGCCCTGTGGCTGTCTCCCCTCATTTGACCCTCATTCAGCAAGTCGAAGATTCGCAGCAATCGATCCAATCGAATCACGACGGTCTCGTGGCATTCGTTGACTTGCCCGCGTGACGATTACGGACAAGCGACAAGCTCGCCTGAGCACCAAGCTGTGTGATGTTGGGAACTGATCGTTTGCTCATTACATAACATCCTGGTCAGCTCTTGCCCAATTTGATCACTTTGCACCTTAGATTCGCCTTTAACGTTGTTTGAAAGACTAACTGCATGTTGTTTGGTGGAGCAGCAGTAAGTACCTACCTAGCTTCAACACGAAGGACATTTCGATATCTCTGGCGAATCGCTCGTTGGGCACTGGGCCACCACGGTGGTGTAATCCGCGGCAGGGCACCTATTCCTTGCCTCCTCTAACAAACACTAACACACCAACTTCTCTCCTTCTACCTACAGACCTACATAACCCTCTCAACACCCAAATCCCGACCCAACTGCGCATCGCAACAAACCGCTTTTATTTCCCAGCAGCTCAGCGCAGAGGGACTCGTCAATACTCTATCCCTAGCCGTTATAAAGGCATCCATTACGCGCGATCGAGAGACGCAGGTCACCCAAACGCATCGATAGCCCACATCTCCGCATGACGTCGTCATTAGCAGAGCATCCAGACCGGGCCCGCCCCGCAGGCAACGAAGGCCATCAACAACAATCGGAACAGCCCAAATCTCGTCGCGAAGAGTCGGCATCACGCCTCAGTACCGGTCGTCGCGACGGTGCGAGCGAAGACACAAATCAGCAATTCCTTGTCGGCGAACAGTCGCCACTGCTCTCTCCAGTCGATAATCAGGATGGCTCCTCCAGCGATCAAGGTGCCGACACAGCCGACGAGTTCCAAACCACAAAGAGCGTATGGTATATGATCCTTTTGACCATCAGCATCGGCGGCCTGCAGATTGCTTGGTCAGTTGAGATGTCCAACGGATCTCCATATCTGCTCTCTCTCGGCATCAGCAAGTCTTTGATGGCCTTGGTTTGGATTGCTGGCCCTCTCTCGGGAACCTTGGTGCAACCATACGTCGGCATGATGAGTGACAACTGTCGCATCCGCTGGGGCAAGCGCAAGCCCTTCATGCTCGGAGGTGCTGCCGCCACGATACTCTCGCTGATGTTCCTTGCCTGGACCCGAGAGATTGTTACTGGCATCCTCGGGCTCTTTGGAGCCGACCCTCAGTCCGAAAGCGTCAAGTTGTGCATTATTTGTACCGCCGTGCTCTGGATCTATATCCTTGATTTCGCCATCAATACTGGTATGACACTCGCTCCCCGACCTGAATCTATGTGCCCTGCTGACTTGTCAATTCCAGTCCAAGCAGCGATTCGCGCCTTCATCGTTGACTGTGCGCCCACTCACCAGCAAGGTATGTACTCCTCCGATAAAGCCCCAATACATCGACGCCATCGATCATTAACGCCTTGAAGAAATGGCAAATGCTATGGCCAGCAGGTTCGTAGGCATCGGCAATATTTGCGGTTATCTCGCCGGATACGCCAATCTGGCTCCAGTCTTTTGGTGGCTTGGGGATAGTCAGTTCAAGGAACTCTGTGGTATTGCCAGCCTTGCCCTCGGTACAACCGTTCTCATGACTTGCCTTTTCATCAAGGAGAGGGATCCAAGACTCGAGGGACCTCCAGCAAAGGACAAGCCTGGGGTGGTTGCCTTCTTCAAGAAGATTTTCACATCGATCAAACGCCTGCCGCCGCAAACCAAGAAAGTCTGCCAAGTCCAGTTCTGTGCCTGGATCGGTTTCTTCCCCATGCTCTTCTATACTTCATCCTACATTGGAGAGATTTACGCCGAGCCATATCTCGAAGAAAACCCGAATATGACTGACAAGGAGCTCGACGAGTTGTATGAAAGGGCAACACAGGTTGGCACTTTTGCCTTGCTCATTTTTGCCATCACAAGTCTGGCCACAAACATCTTCCTGCCATTCTTCATCGCGCCAACCTACGACCAATCGATGGTTACGGCCGTTGCCCCTGGCGAGGCTCCTGCAGTAGTAATTAAGGATTACGAGCCCGAACAGAGGTCATGGACCCGTCATCTGATCATCCCCGGATTTACACTTCGCCGTGCCTGGATGTTTTCGCAAATACTATTCACTGGCTGTATGCTTTGTACCGTATTCGTACGAACCGTTACAGCAGCCACTGTTCTCATTGGTCTCGTCGGCATCACCTGGGCTTTGACACTATGGGCGCCCTGGGCAATCATCAGCGCTGAAATATCTCAGCGTGACGAGGAACGGCGGTCTCAGCAACAGCGCCTTTCACCCAGTCGCCTGGACACCCTGGATGGGTACTCGTCCGATGGAAACCAGGACAGCGACCTGGGCAAAGATGATGAAGAAGCAGCGGATCAGGCAGGTGTGATCCTCGGCATTCACAACATGGCAATTGCCGCACCGCAAATCATTGCTACGGTAGCAAGCAGCATCATTTTCCGCCTCTTTCAGAAACCTCGAGGAACGCCCGGTGACCACAGTATTGCCATTGTCTTGGCTCTTGGTGGTATCACAGTTTTAATCTCGGCCCTCTTCATTCACCGCATTCGGGACGAGCCTACTGTCACCTATGACGAAATCAGTGCGGTAGAGGAAGGAGATGCCGCTCCGAGACCGAATGTACATAGTCGAAGCCGCTCTTTCGATCAGCCTCCACGAGCGAGTCTCGAACGTGCAACGCTTGTCCGGAACAAGAGCTTCGGTGGCATGGAGTACTAAAAGCCTGCCGTAAACGTTCGACCTTTGGAACACTGTTTGGTCGAACTTGACCTCAACTCTATGTCAACTCATCGCGGAGTATAGACCATTGGATACGTACCATACGCTACAGTTGTGGGCAGTCATACCTTCGGAAGAGCGGGCAATTATGAGAAGATGCAGCGAGTTGGGTTTCTTTTATCGTTTCGTTTGGGATCTCTGGTTTTCTAGCCTGGGTAATGGTTCACCAGCGCCGCGCACTTTGTTCATCTTAACGTGCTGGGTCACACAACGCGATCGTCGTGTCTCGGTAAGAATTTTTCCTTTCAGGATCCTTGGGGTGACATCTTCAGAACAGTAATCCTCATCAAAGTTTAGTTTAGACAGTGGTCTAGGTTTAAGACAGGAAACTATCACACTTGCCATGCTTTCCGAGGTAAAAGTCGTGAGGTTGCTAAAGCTACAACAGTCCAATGCATTCTGACACCCTGACCCGGATTTGATCAAGCATTCAAGGTTATCAATGACGCGACGGCTGAGAATCTCCATGAAGCCTCCAATAGGCTATAGTCAGCCCCATGTGGTTGATGCCGGGGGAAGATCATTACAGGCTGAACTGCGAGGGCATCGATCCTGCTGATCAATATCGCCCGTACGTAGAAAATCGGAAGCTGCCGTCCGCAATTTGCACTCCAACTCTGTGCATGAGCTGTTCTTCCTCCAGTAACGGAACGTTGTTCCCTCTCCCATATTACTCTTTGATACATCCATCTTCGGAGAAAATGCAAGTTAATTACTACCATATGCATAGGTTGCTTTTGTGTGAACACAAGTCCGAAATACTACAAACACCCGAATTTCTCTCTCTCTTGCCCCCCAAAGATGTACTTTAACCTCCCTCTGATCCCCCCATATTGTGTACCTCCCCTTCCCCTCGACACTATTTTCTCCTTCACTTCATACCCACATCTCAAACACAAAAAGAAATGAAGTCAACCACTCTCATAGCCGCTGTTCTTTCGGCTTTTTCAACCACCCATGCCGCCCTTCTCTGGGACGGCCGCTTCAATGACTTCACCTCTGCCTCGGACCTCAACAAGTGGTCCTGGTCCAACCAAGTCGGTCCTTATCAATACTACATCCACGGCTCCTCCCCCGTCGACAAGTACATATCCCTCTCCGAAGCCTACAAAAACCCCAACGACACGCGCTCCCGCCAGGGCGCCCGGTTCACGCTCGACAACACGGCGTACTGGAACGGGCAGAACATGCGCCGTATCGAACTAATCCCGCAGACCAAGGAAGCGATTAACAGGGGGAAAGTGTACTATCATTTCAGCATCATGAGGAGCGACAAGAATGCGCCCAGTGTGTATAGGGAACATCAAATTTGTTTCTTTGAAAGCCATTTTACCGAGTTGAAGAGTGGATGGATTTCCGGGGAGTCAGGGACAAGTAATCCCAACTTGCAATGGATGACGAATCAGAGGAGTGGGTGGAAGACGGAGTGGAAGGCGGGGGTTTGGCATAATGTTGCTTATGAGATTGTAAGTCCTTTTCGATTTGTTGGGTTGGGTTGAACGGAAAGTCCGTCATGAATGTTAGTGATGGGAGTAGAAACTGACTTACTTGTCTTTTTGCAACTATACACAGGATTTTAGCGCTAACAAGGTCGCTTTCTGGCACTCCGAGGGCGGCGAGCCTCTGAAGCAAGTCGTCGCTCCTGTTTCAGTCTCAACTTCGTCTAACGGTGCGGATTGGCACTTGGGCGTCCTGGAGCTTCCTAGGAACGGATATGGCGATACAACGGAGGATTTCTACTTTTCTGGGGTCTACATTGAGACGGGTCCGATCACTACTGCTATTGGTGGCTCTTGAAAAAGTGATTGAGAGTATGGTTGTTGAGTGAAGTTATGGGAATGGAAAGAACGGGAGTGATAATAGGTATCTGTAAAAGCTGAGCGGCCAAACAGGTCAAGAAAATGAAGTCCTTCCCCAACCGTCTTTGAAACAAAGCAAGAAAAAACTAGGCCGCATATTGAGCACGGCTGCCACATGCCACTTCTACCACCACAAGGGCATTTGCTCCTTCCTCCTTTCCGAAACAGAGCCGCCCACTGCCTTCAACGCAAACATGCAAGGCAATTCCCTCCTTCCCCCAACCAGTCTCCTCGGTCTCCCACAGGGGTAAAGTAGTTATATCCCTTCCGTACCTCACGTAAATCACCTCTTCTGCACCCTCGGCCCCGCCGTGCTCTTATTCCTCGCCGCCTCCAGCATATCCTTAAACTCGCGAAACAGCGCCTTGACCGTGCCATTCGCCTCCCACTCGCTCACAATCTTGGCGACCAGCTTATACTTCTTTTTTGTTGTCCTCTTTTTGCGCTTCTCTTTGCTTTCACCCTCGCGCTTTTTCGAAATAGCAGCAGCAGCAGCCAGGTGTCCGTCTTCCGATAGGCGGGTGTCGACCCAGTCTAGCAGGGCGTACTGCCAGTGCAGCAGGTTGTGGGCCGTCTCGGCGTTGGAGTGGCATACAGAGCCAATCTTCCAGTGTCGCGAGGCGGCGGGGATGGTGTTGCCGTCGGCATCGTTCTCATCTGGATCACCGCCTTCGTCATCGGGGGAAGGGGAGGGGTTGTTGTTGGGGACGGCTTTGAGGAATCTTGGGTGGGAAAAATCTTTGTAATAAGGGGAGCCAGAAAAGGCGATTTCAAATCTGGGTGGCGGGTGGTGAAGTTAGTTTTGAGGGGAAAGAAAGGGAAAAAAAAAAAAAAAAAAAAAAAAAAAAAAAAAAAAAAAAAAAAAAAAGATATAACAACTCACTTTGCAGGATGTCCGCTCCTTCCACACGCCGCGCAGTTGCTAAAGCAAATACTTTGCTCATGCGTGTCACCACTAGTATAATAGGGCCGGGCCCTTAACGCCATGTAAAAGTCCGTCTTCCAGGCTGAAGAAGCGAACTTACTCTGGGCCAAGCCACGGACCTCATCATCGAGCTTCCTCCAGCCGAGCCTATACAACCCGGCAGTTTTCTCCGGGAACTTGGGGTGGATTTTGTAATGGACCAGCCACTCGACTACATCGCGGAAGTGTTCCTTGAGCGGCTTATGTGCGTGTCTAGTGAACTCGAGCGGGATACCAATCTCGTCGGGTGCGCCAATAGGGGCGTCGGAGTCGTCTTCAGAGATGAAATCCTGCATCTCTTCATCTTCGTAGGAACCTGCGTTGCGCTTTTCGTCGTTGTCTTCGGTATCCTCTGAATCAGGGGATATCTCTCTTCGCTTCTTGCTCTTCTTGTCTTTCTTTCTGGTCTTCTTGTTGTCCTTCGTTTCCGTTTTTCCTTTTCCCTTCTTTTTGTCCCTCTCCTCTTCTTTGACAATCCCTTCCTCGTCCGTTTCCTCGTCCTCAAACTCCGAAAGAGCAGGATTATCCGAGTCTGTGTCGTAGTAGCCCCTTTTAGGTAGCTCGACCTCCGAGTCCTCATCTTCCTCCACGTTCTCCAAGTCATCGATAGGTTCGCCCGCCCGCTTGCGCCTCAGTAGCTCTCTCGCTCTCTCCTTCTCCGTCATGGGCTTTTTGACTCGACGCTTGGCCCTAACGGGTCGTGATTCTGTTGAAGACGTGGCAGCAGAAGAGCTACCCGTACCGGTAGCAACCTTTAGCCTGCCCTTGCCTAGGCGACGAGGCTTATAATCATCTGAATTCTCTTCCTCCTTAGCCGAGCTTGCCGAGGATGGATTCCCTCTCCTGATCAGCCGTCTCTTCTTCGTCGGACTCGACTCCTTCTCTCCACCGCGCCTCGTTGCCCTTTTCCTGACTGCCGACGACAAAACTCGGTCAGAGTCTGAGTCCTCTTCCTCGCCCTCGCCATCAACCCCAGCCTTCTCCTTGACCTTGCCCTCACGCTTCCACTCATCTTCATCCTCATCCTCATCAGACACAGCCGCCACCTGCCTCTTCACACCTCTAGTACGCTGAGTAGGCAGCGGCATGTCGTCATCCTCATCCTCCTCATCCAGCACAATAACCTCCTTTTGATCACGGCTACCAGCAGCAGCAGAGGCAGCAGCGCGGGGGTTATGTGTTATCGTCACTACAGCTTGGGACGAAAACACAGGTAAGTCGTCATACTCAAACGCGGCCCCACCGTAGTCTTCCGCCTCGGAAGTAGAGTCCGAGTCGTCGTCAATGACGATGGTCCGCTTCTTGGCCTCGGCTGTGGAGATCTTGGGGATGAAGACTGCTGAGGAGGCGGGGAGTTGCCGGTCTGGGGAGATGTCCTCCCGTCGTCGCTGTCGCTGTCGCGCCGGGGCCATGGTTGTCGTCGCTGGGGATCTGGCCAAATCCAGTGGTTCTTTGCCTTTCGTACTCGTACTGGAACTGCTGCTGCGGGTAGATATTTTCTTGACGGTTGGGGGTTTGATTCTTGGTTGGCCTTGGGAGTTTTTATTAGATCAAGATCAATGAGGTTGGTCAAATCCGCTACGAGTGAGGGAAGAATGAGGGGGAATGAATAGACGAATGGTTCGGAAGGGTACCATAGATTTGACGACAAACTCACCCAAGGAAGCCTCCAAGGTTTGTTGTTTCGGCTTTTTGGTCCTTTTCCCTGGTGGCATGGTTGCGGCTCTGGGTTGAAATGGGTGTTGGTTTGAGGAATGGGATAAAAGCGATGCAGGAAGGTCAAAGTGGCGCAGGATGCAAACGGAAGAGGCCTGTCCTGGATTTGAGAGAATACCAGTAAGGATGCAAAGCTGAGTGAGAGTTGAATTGATGTTTTAACGATCGACTTGAATCGGCGATCTCGATTGATGCTTGTCGATCAGGCAAAATCCGTCGTTTAACAGCAAGGTGGAAGATAGTGGACGAGGTGGAGGAGTCGAGCGAGGCGATTTGATGAGCAAGCACTTCGAGGTTTGAGGCACGATGCTGCAAGACACAATCCCACGTGCAGTATCCGGATTCATGCCTAAAAAGCTGCACAATTCATCGCAAGTCTCCAGTCTATTGGAAATGCGACGCGCTGATGGATGAAGCTCGCGTCGTACCATGACGAAAAAAAAAAAACAGTGGTGATGAGCGCGGGTTCACGTGTTTTAGGCGGGGTAGTATTGGAGGAGGATGAAGTGGTCTGTACCACACTCACCAGAGCAGTCCAAGATCACATATTCAGACAGACCAAAAGATCTTTGTAGCCTTGCGTTAATATATGTAATGATTCATTGTTATATGTTTTTACATTGAAGGATCTTTCCTTTAAAGTGGTCTATTGCTTTGTGCGTCATTAAGACCCCCTTGTGCACATTCATTTTCGTACAGTTGATTACCCTAACCAACCCAACTCCAAAGCTGATATCATATTAAATGAGCAAACCTTTGCAATAGGCCATGCTTTGCTCATTCGGCTTCCGTCCCATTGCTTCCTCTTGAACGTTTTAAACATTAGGCCCATCCCTGGCATACCCTCATTAAAACCCATGAAAATCCTACCGATAGCAGGAAAGAAAAGAGAGATGCCAATCGACATCCTCATGATGCCCAAAGGGCAAAGAAGATTCCCAAGAGGAGGCACATGGTTAGCGTGCCCTAGCCGCCTAGTACTATATATACAATTGCACCGGCCCTTTCAAGTGAGTGCCAGGCGCTACCACACACAATCGTCCAACGAGCATTTTACCTCAGTGGCCGCTTGGCGTCCTCGACACCACGTGCGATGACGTCCTCCAGCTTCCACCTAGGTGGCTTGATGAGAGCCTGGCCCTTAGCCTTAATGTACTCCTTCTCCATCTCGGGGGTAACACCTGCAGGCAAGGGTTCGAGACCTCCCGCGACACCGGTAGAGAACTTGATCTGGAGAATGTCACCCACTTCGTCGCAGGCAGCAAGGAGGCGATCAAGATCGTCCTTGTTGTGTGCAGCTGATACGCAGAAGCGGGCACGAGAGCTGATGAGAGGTGTAGCGGGATATCCAACAACGACGACCGCAATCTTGCGCTTCAGCATTTCGTGGCTAAAAGCAGAAATCTTGCCGGGGTTGTAAAGCATGACGGGAATGATAGGGGAGTCGTCGTGGCCGTAAACAATGAAGCCAAGACGCTTGAGACCGAGACGGAGGTAGCGAGAGTTGAAGGCAATGCGCTGAAGACGCTCCTCGCCTTGACCGGGAACAAGCTCACCCTCAATAATCTTGAGCGAAGCGAGAATCTGCATCAGAACAGCAGGAGCAGGCGATTCACCAAGGAGGGTAGCGGCATTGGTAGCCTTGAGCTTATCGATGATGTGCTTCTCGGCCGCAACGTAACCGCCATTAGCACCGAAAGACTTGGTCAGAGTTCCCATGAGAATGTCAACTTCAGCAGGATCGACATTGAAGTAATCGCAGACACCACGGCCGTTGGCACCAACAGCACCGATACTGTGAGCCTCATCGATGTAGAGGAAGAACTTGTACTTCTTCTTGAGAGCCAAAATACCAGGCAGATCGCACATGGTTCCCTCCATCGAGTAGAGACCTTCGATAGCGACAAGGATCTTCTTCCAGGGGCGGTGAGTGCGGGGCTGACCCTGGGCGATAGCCTCACGAAGCAGCTTCTCGAGATCCTCCATATTGTTGTGCTTGAACGACCTGATGACCGCTCCAGACAAACGGGCACCGATACGAATGGAGGCGTGGTTGAGCTCATCGGAAATGATGAGATCACCCTTGGAGACGAGCGCAGGGAAGGAACCAGCGTTGGTGACGAAGCCCATCGAGAAAACCATGGCAGCGGGCTTGCCAACGAACTTTGCAATTTCACGTTCAACCTCGAGAGCGAGATCAGAAGTACCAGTATCCGCGCGAGGGCTGCAGGCGCTGAGGCCATACTTGCGAACGCACTCCTCAACGGCATCGGCGCAAGGGCCAACGGACTGGGCGAAACCAAGATAGTTGTACGAGCTCATGTTCAGGGTCTCGGTGCAGGTACCGGTGTACTGGTAGTTGCGATTGAAGTCATCAGACTTGCGGTCAAGGAGAGTGATGTAGCGGCCAGGGACGCCAGTGGTGGGTCTGGCGAAGCAGTCGTCGATGCGCATCTTGAGTCTGCGAACGTAGAAGTTGTCGAAATCGTCGTTCAGGGGTGCGTAGCCGTTCTGAGCCCGGAGTGCCTTGTAGTGGTTCTGGTCGCCGAATCTCTTGCCGAAAAAGTCGCGGGCGTGACCGAAGAATATTAGGATAAGGTAGCTGAGATAAGTAGTGAGGACGTAATAATATGGGGGCTCGTCTTCAACGGGCGGCTCGAGAGTGCTGCCATCGTGTGTGCTGATGTAGCGGTGGCTCTGGCTGTTCAGAGGACCGAACTGGGCCTCGGCGCGTTGGCGCTTGAGCGTTTCCTCGAGGGAGGGGGGCTGAAAAAGAGTGGTGGACTCATGGCTGTTGAGGTCCTCGGAGAGCGAAATGGAGGGCAGCGACAAAATGCTTGTCGCCGTACCGGCGCCCTGGTTCTGTTGCATGGCCTGGAGGGCCTGCTTTTCCGAGAGCTGATCCTTGCTCTTGGGCGAAGAGAAGAACTGGGCGATGCGGGTGGCTTTGGACAGAGACGGCCTTCGCTCGGCGGCCCTATCAGGGTTCGGCATAGTGGAGGAAGAGGAGGAGGAGAAGAAAGGGTTGGTAATCCTTCGGGGCATGTCTAGGGCGCAAGTGAGGGCGCAACTAGGTGGTTGGATGCAAGCAGACGACCGCCGCTTTCAGGACGCGTAGGAGGTAGAGCGATGCGCAAATGCTAACTCCAACAGATGCTGTAATAGAGAGATATCAGCAAGGTGGCCTAAAAGGATTACTTGATAATGAGACGGGCCGCGAGCGAAGCCAAGGGAGAAGACGAGTTATCGCGACAATTTGGGAATGATGGAGTTCCTGCTAACCACAGAGCAACTGTGGAGATGCTATGCTGGTATGCCGCTTTCGCATGCTCGAAACATATGATGGCCATGTCAAATGACGAGACGCAGGCAATGCACAGCGCTGCCAATGCAGGTCCAATCGAGCTCCTTGCATGTGGTAGCGGCTCCCAGATACCAAGATGCCCTTGCGGGTGTACAACATGAGCAGCTTCCACTTCCAACCATTCCCGTCCATTTACCGCCTGGGTGCAACACCTGTCCATCGCCCTGGCTCCGCCGCGAGGAAAAGGGAGAAACGGAAGATGGAAAGCAGTATTCCAAACACTCACCTGCCCTATCATCCAAGACGTGTGTACAGGTACAGCAGCCTCCAAGAGCAACGTACAAGGCGGCGACGAGGTTGAGAACTGGATCGAGCGATTATAGTCTTGGAGACAAAAAGGCGGTCGCGACGGAACCTCTTGGGCGGTAGCGGTAGGCGGTGTCGGCGGGAAGAAAAGCAAACCAAGAGAGGGGAACGTCGTCGCGCTTGTCGTCGCAGTCGAGTGTCGCCCTTTTACGACTCTGGTACACCCTCGCCCCTTGTTGATGTGCAGGACAGGTCACGGTTGTCTTGGAAGAGTCGAGGGCGTCGGCTGTCTGGGAAAAGAGTGGACGAGGCAGAAGATTTCAATGAATTGCGGAAAGGGGCACAGGCATCACAACAGCGGGCAGCTCACCAGTGGTTCAAAGACAACCCACCACAAGTCGGAGCGACAAAATCCACCCCAGTCCACCACATTCCCACCGCAGCCGTCCGAGATTGTGGAACCCGATTGCGGACGGCCAATGAGCGCGGCACTGCCAGCGAGCTGTTGACCCCGGTCTCCCCGGTGTTGCTTTCGTTGCTTCGCAGCCACACGTTAATTTGGCCAGTCACTGCGAGTCTGACAAGAGAGCAACGATTGGGGACTTGCGCTGTTGTTGGCGTTATCCAGTCATGTACCGTGATACCGCTGAATCATGCAGCCGCTACCTTGTGAGATGCGTACCGTGTACTTTTAGTACTGGCAGTCTGGACTTGTTAGCGCAATCAACCAAGGTCCTCCGTATCTCCCGAACACTCCGGATCGGTGGGATCGGTTGGTGGTCTTGTGCTCGATGACGGGACTTTTTATCAACTGCTCGGCCTTTGTGCTTCTTGACGCTGATCAAAGTGTCGTTTGCTTGCACGTTTCTTTTCCAACTGGCTCAAGCAGACTGTGATAGACAGGTCGTTACTAGCTATCGTCAAGGTATAAAGCCGGCGTTATGGCTTGAGACAAGACTCCAACGGCTCTCGGACTCAGGAAGACTCCGACACTGCCTGCCTGCACCTCGACAGGATCAATGTTAGACAATAGTGTACGTTCCCTGAGATGGGATCGCCTCGAGCCACTGCAGGCACCATGGACACGGAATTGTCCAGGCGCGACACATCGGCGGATGTGCCAATCACCAGCCGACCTTGTTCCCGACTAGGCAAGGAACTCTGAGTGTCTCGATGTGTTGTGTGCCATTGCCACCGAGCACTTCGGAAATGAAGGGATCTCAGGGAAAAAAAACTCTATATCATGATGCGAACAGCACACATCTCTTTCCAGTTCCCACACGCCCAATTTCAACGGATTATCCTCCCGCTCGGCATCGCCTATGTACATTACTCTCTTGCCCTTGGGTTGATGCCTGATCAACGATC